TGAAAAGAAAGTAAACAACATATCACATTTTCATTCCAAAAGGAGCTAAATCCACAAAATCTAAAAATTTAGTAAAAATCAGAAATAACTGGAAGATTTTTTTTCTTATCATATATTATTGGTCCAGGGCGACACCTTTAACATATATAACATGAAGGTACATTGCTAAATGGAAAGGGGAGAAATAAAAAAGGTGATTTACTCAGAAGTATACCCAAAATGGATTTAGCTCCTTTTGGAATGAAACATGATATTGTACCTACATTTTTTCATACTTCCTGGTGAAATTTTCGAATGTGATATAGTGCATTTTGTCCCCATGTTGGAAATCATTATTTTAAGACAAATAACTCCATTTTGATAAAATATGGATTTAGCTCCTTTTGGAATCAAGCTCTTCATATATTGCTCAAATTACTCTCACACACATACAACTTTTGTGTGAGGGTTAAAATTGCTACATCTCTTCTGTACACCTGATCACCCGAAATAAATTATTTGTGGATAGGTAGAACTAGAATGTATAAAAACAAGACTTCTTTCCCTGGTTGGCATTCAATAGGTTAAAGGTAATACATAGTTTTGGTATGGGGTCATGAATTTGGTTCAAATGAACATATTGGAAGCATATGCGATCCTACAATATTCAGTGATCGTTGTCACGGTTGAAATCGGGTGTAAAGAGATGAAATTGTAAATAATAAACTCTTTGTTGTATAGCTCCCTCTCAAGGTCAAGATATTGATTTAGCTATAAAACAATGTTATTTGACTAAAATCGACCACTTTGCTATTACCATTTAGAATATATATATATCACAACTGCATATTCTGAGATTTTCATGGTCGCAGCTACCATCGTATGGCCGTAGGCGCTATTTGAAATGTATCAAAATTTACCGGGAGCACCGGTAAATTTTTATATTCAATTTTTCTTGAAAGCAGAAGTGTTTTAGGGTACAATTTTTTTAGGGCTTATAATACATCCATAGGGGCATCCAAATATATCAACATTGTAAAGAATCACTATCCAGCCAATTTTCAAAAAATACCAAAACTTTGTAATACCTTTAAAGGAGTGTGAAGAAAATGATAACACAAAACCCTGCATGTTTGCTTCTACCAATGGGACCCGTTTCAAAAGGCTTTTAACAATGACAAATGACAAAAATCAGTGACAAATCTGCTGATACCCAATCAGAAGCAAGGATTTCAGTAGCTTATAACAACGACTGTCATTTGTGACTGATGACAAGTTTTGTGAAACACCCCTGTAATCACTTTGAAAGTGACTGATGAGCATGATACATTGAAAACTTTCACATGATAATAAAAAAAATCAAAGACATGAAAACATACATATTCGTATATAGCATATTTGCTCTAGCTCCTACAGCTGGGAAGAACAGTAGGACCAAATAGAAACATGTTTGTTAATAATAATAATAATAATAAATTACATTTATAAAGCGCTTAATACAATGTTTCTAAGCGCTTAACATACAAGTAATTAGGTACAACGTAAAATAAACATACAGCAATAATAATACATAATTCTAATAATAACATCATAGATAATTATAACTGCCCTATCAACTACTATTACCGGTAAACAAAAAATACTTCAAACTTGCCTTAAAAGACTCTACAGATGGGGATTGACGAATAATAATAGGTAAACTGTTCCATAATTTAGGGGCTGCAATGGCAAAAGTACGATCTCCGTAACGGGTATTTGTTCGGGGACCGGGGGCCTTGCCTTATTAGACTCTACAGATGGGGATTGACGATTAATAATAGGTAAACTGTTCCATAATTTAGGGGCTGCAATGGCAAAAGTACGATCTCCGTAACGGGTATTTGTTCGGGGACCAGGGGCGTATTGGAAATTAGCACGTGTAGTTGACCGTAATGAACGTGATGGAACAATAGGTTTGAGAAGGTCGTTTAAATATGATGGAGCATAACCATGTTTAATTTTGAATACTAACAAAAGAATCTTAAATTGAATGCGAGTTAAAATAGGTAGCCAATGAAGAGATCTAAGAATAGGAGTTATTGGTTCATATTTTCTGGTTTTGGTAATGAGACGGGCTGCCATGTTCTGAATACGTAGGAGTGGAGAAATGGTGGAATCTGGTAAGCCAAAGTACCATCCGTTAATATCCTTCCCGCTTCATACAGACAATGAGTGATTTCAAGTTTGGTGTTAGTGTTAGTGTTAGTGTTTAGAGCAGTCAAGAGCTCTTAAATCGAGCGGAAAATTTGCTGATGAAATTAAGAGTCCGATACCGATATCAAAATCGATAGCTTAACACCAGCCGTGACGTCACCACATACTTGATTTCACGACGATGACTTAAAAATAGTACATAAAAACTAAAGATATCATGAAAAGTACAGAATAAATTTACACCTATTTCTCTGGTCTTATAAAATAACTAATTTTACACAAAAGAATATGTGAATTACCTGATTCACATATTTTTATTTGATCGTCAGACAATAAATTGGCATCGTTCTTGCGTTGACTGTGTGCGGGTACAACACTAACACCGAACTGGAAATCAACATTTGCTTAATCCCTAGGGGCTAGTGTTAGTGAATAGGACATTGGTACGTAAAATATTAACACCAGCCACAAAGGTCGGTTCAGCAGACGACAATTTTTCATAATCGATAACACTAGCTACCGGAAGTTGACGATATTGAGAGGTCAAAGCCTTAACACCAGCTGATTTCCATTTCGATGTTTAGGCTGGTGTTAGTGTTTATTAAACACTAACACCAGCCTTAAACACCCAACTTGAAATCACTCAATATACCCAGACATATGAGACCGCATGTTACACACACGGGTAATGTCTTTTACCTTGCTTTCTGACTTTTCTTGATACCATAATAAGCTATTATATATGTACATTTACTACCGAATCATTAGATTTCATCAATTCATGTGCATACTTTCCGTCTTTTCCATAACAATAACTTTGAATAAGAAATGTTGAAATTGTTGTGCTTCAATGACTCGTTTCTCTTTGCACTCAAAATATTATGTAAGCTTCTACTCCAATGTTTAGGACATTGACCCCAAAGTCTGACATAGCAGCATCCAATTTACATAACATGTATGCACCCTGTATTCTTACATTGAAAATAAATTGAGTTACCGCTACAGTTCGTCCTACGTCTCAGGTAGATGCTTTCACAAAGTTGAAAACAGTGTGTTAAAGCCACACTATACTAGTTGATCCCTCTATATAGGTAGAAAACTTTCCCAATCGGTGCCTGTTGGTCCCCCATGATCCTCATTTTCTTATGTTAATTGAGAGCCGAGTTAATGAGATAGCCACCTGTCAGTGACCTCGCTGTGTGGTCTAATCCCTTCTGGCTGAACTAGTACAGTCTGCCTTTAATTGGTCTTTCAAATAATAATATTCCGCTCTTATGTAGTGCATATCATGTACTTCCAAAGAACTGGAAACTATTACCCTAGCTGTCGCTCTTGCAGCCATTATCAGCGCACAGTTCATTTCAAAGAATAATCCTACCAGGTACCCATTTACCTCACCTGGGTCGAGTGTAGCAAATGTAGATTAATGTAATCTACATTTGCCATACTCACCCCAAGAACGTTATACAGCCTTTTCACACACAGCTAAAATTCATCGTATCTAGAGCCGATTAGTTTAAAGCTGTTTAACTCAACAGTTTTAAACAGCTTTAAAGAAAATTTTCTGTGTGAACATTGTTTATACGATGTTCGGATAGATATGAAGTCGCGATTCATACGCCCCTCAAAGCAGGCTGCAGATACAAAGTTCGTATCTAGAGAGCTTGACATTTTGTGTGTGAACAGTTATGCGTGTTTAAACTGGATGGAGCGTGCGCTTTGTTTGATATGACCTAACCTTTAATGCCATGGCACTACTGCGCATTTTAAGAGCAGTAGTTAATCACAAAACGATTAACGATCGCACCAAAATTTCTGTGTGTGAATGATGTCGTATGTAAAGCTGATTAGTTTAAAGCACTTTAAACTAATCAGCTTTAAAGAATTTTACTCGTGTGTGAAAAGGCTGATAGTGCCACGGTGGAACTTGAACCGCAGACCTTGTGATCCACAGTCCGGTGACATATCCACTCGACCAGGACACCTTTCAAAGTATTATTCACTTTTATTTATACAAACTATTTACATATCTTAGATATGGTGAGAGAGCAGACATGAGATTGCGCATCTATAGTTACTAAGAATAGACCCTTATCACCCTTATCACCACAAAACAATTTAAAGGTAAGACCAGTATTGGAAACGCCCCAATTTCAAAAAATGAAATGGAAGCTCTTATTACCAATCATGTGAAAGAATATATTTTTACTAATACATGATGATAAAAATTTTGCCGGGAAACCGCCTACCAATTGATATATTTGGTAAATTAGTTTATCTATTGGTGTGTGAGAGATAAACGTACGTGTCGCGCACGTGTGCGTAGTCCCATATACATCTTTCTGTGTACAGTGCTTGTAATTTAACCAAGACTGGGCCAAATTTCTTATCATTTTGATGATTCCAGAACCTTGCAGTACACACTAATACTTATATGCTAGATGATCAATCTTTTCTGATCGATTCCACAACGTTTCTTTGACAATGCAATCGCATGACCATAACTGGTCTTTATCTTAAATCTTTTTATCTAAACTTTGTGCACTAAGAATAGACCCTTATCACCCTTATCACCACAAAGCAATTTAACATACCGGTATAAAAATAGTCTTTCTTTCAATCACCTTTCATATAAGTGGATCAAAGAGCAAAGAGTAATGTTTGCAAAGAATCTTCAACAAAATATTTCTATTACAAACAGCATTAATAGATAATATAAATAGCCAAACAAGCATTTGATAGTATTTGATTACTAATTTTCCAGGGTTATTATGAGTATCCTTTGAATTTGTATGCAAGCAATGACTCATTTTTATTACATGGATAGAATGAACATATTACGTCCAGTCCAGACCTATTTGAAAACCTTTTTGAATCAGCATAATTACAAAAACATTCATTACATAATTTGTATCTACTTGTTCCTTTTATATATCCTCTTGGCAAAAGCGACAAATATATCCTTGGGTAAGGTCTCGCTGTGGCTATTGATCGTGTCCATCAGATCGTTGTAGCTGGATTCCTCATACGATCTGTACACGCTCTCGAGGTCAAGGGTCGCGTAGAGGTCCTTGACCTTTGCGACCTTCTCTGAATCATCAATGCCATAGTTAGCCTGTTGATAGAGGTAAGAAACAACAATCATAAGCTCTGATATGCTAACAGGCCCAATTGTTATCAACAGCTGTTTCGAAGTATACCTAAACATTTGTATCGTGGTGCATTGTATAAGTAAATATTGGTATCGTGGTGCTTTGCATACCTAAACATTTGTATCGTGGTGCATTGTATAAGTAAATATTGGTATCACGGTGCATTGTATACGTAAACAATGCTATCGTGGTTCATTGTATAAGTAAATATTGGTATCATGGTGAATCGTATACCTATGAATATTTGTATCGTGGTGCATTGCATACCTAAACATTGGTATCGTGGTGCATTGTATACGTAAACAATGGTATCGTGGTGCATTGTATACGTAAACAATGTTATCGAGGTTCATTGTATAAGTAAATATTGGTATCATGGTGAATTGTATACCTATGAATAATGGATTTGTGGTGCATTGCATACCTAAACATTGGTATTGTGGTGCATTGTATACCTAAACATTGGTATCGTGGTGCATTGTATACGCAAACAATGCTATCGTGGTTCATTGCAATCCTTTTACATGGGTGCAATGGCCACATCAGCTTCAATTCGTATACCCTCACATGAATGGCGTGATGGTGCTTCGATTCAGAGAAAAGGAACATTAAAAAATTGTGAGTACTGGCATTTCATATATCAAGATTAACATCATAAAATAAAACATGGGGCATACCTCAAGGATTTCCCTTTGGTCCGGGGTAACCCTCTGTAGGGCTTGGACGACTAACCAGCCACATTTATTCTCTTCGATGTCGGTACCGATCTTACCAATGACCTCTGGCTCACCGTAACAATCTAGATAATCATCCTACGGAGAGATAAAGAAAGAGAGAGTGATTATTTGAATAATCTTGTGACAAACAATGCATCAAGGAATATAAGACAGAGAGAAAGAGAGAGGGAGGAGAGAAAGAGAGAGGGAGGAGAGAAAGAGAGGGAGGAGAGAGAGAGAGAGAGAGGGAGAGAGAAAGAGGGAAAGAGATCGGCAGCATGGCTTTATACAAGAATTTTTTTCTTCAAATGTATGTTATAACCAAATAATTACCTCTGTAGTGGAAAAAAGAAAGAAAGAGACTTTGAACAAGATCGAGTAAAGTGCATAAATATATTAGAAACAAGCTTAGAGTTTGACACATACCTGAACTTGGAAGAAATGTCCCATCTGTAATAAGATAGTCTTTGCGTTGGTATGAGACTTGGCGTCAGAGATGCCAACCTGTTTCAGAAGAGAAAACAACACCTTTAAAGCCCCACTGCACAACTTATAGCTACTTGCGCCCTCTATATGGCAAATATTGCCAAATCGGTGCCTGTTGGTCCCCTATTATCCTCTATTTTTCCTATGTTAATTGAGAGCTGATTTGATGAGATAACCACCTGTCAGTGAGCTTGCAGGGTGGTCTAATTCACCCCTAGCCAATCTAGTACAGACGGGCTTTAAGTACATGTACCCAAATCTGTTGAATAAATACATCAATGTTGCAATAACTGGCATACATTACAATTTAGACATTTGCATAGGACCCCATAAGAAGGGTCAAGGAAACATCGGATTGATTAGTTGATATCTTACAGGGAAATTAACCTCTCGACCAAAATCCAAGCTATAGATGGGATTAAAGTACAAGTAATTTTCTCAGTGGCACTAGGGTTAAAATCACATAGAAGTCGGCTCTCATGGGGAATTCGACACCGTTCGGGTGTTTACCCAATAACAGGTGTTGTCAATCACCAGGGTTAGCCTTCAGTTTTATGACCATTAGACCTTGTGTAATGCTTTTTTCCCTCACCGGAAGCTCTCCGAGCGATTAGGGGGTAATTCTTGATTGGCTAACAGGTTTGCTGTGTGCAGATTTGTACTCCCATTAATGGTATTTCCACCAATTTGATGGACACGGAAACTGCCGATCCAGTTCCTTTAAGATATTTACAAATACATGTAAAAGCTAAATTGCGTAACTGATAACGTACTCACCATGTGCATGGCTAGAGCTACAGGGAGATAGAAAGAGTAGAATGCAGTCTTCCATTTTACTATAGCAGCATACCTGAGAAATACAAGAACAACATAATTATTAAAGGGAGCGTAGCATTGCAAATACTGTTTTGGTTTACGCCATCTACGTCTTCTTTTGGACAACTGCAAGCAAACGAATGGACTTAATTAATTAATTGTAGTCAGCGACTTAATCTCAACATGGTCAGTGTTCGGGAAACAGACTGAAGTTCTCCTCATGCTTCAGTTTGAGCGTATATGTTGCACGAATGTGATTGCTGCAGTCGTGTCGTCGTAGTGGTACTATATCCGATTGGCCCCCGAGTCCGGCCACGGGAAAGACACGGTCTTGTCAGGCTACACTCCCTTTAACATTAGCACGTTTCTAAAAACTACTACATTGAAACATGTATATAAAGACCGCTCAAGGGAGACAAGAAAAGTGGTCTTTATGAGTAGGGGATCTTTACGTAAAGGTTTCAATAATTCAGGATTCAATGGAAAACTCTGATCAGGGGAGACAAAAACTAGTCATTATAGACAGGTGTCACTTAAGCAGGTTTGACTGTACAACTTCAGATTCGTAAATTGCATACAGGTATCGATGGAATCTGGCAAGCAAAGAAAATTCACATCAAGTTTATGACTCTATACTTTGAAAAATCAGTATAAGCTAAAGTACTGCAATCAGACCTGCCTACCTCTGGAATTCTAAAAACTGTATTCTTTAATCTCAAAAGTTGTATTTTACGGACATCAATTGTATTAACAAAAAAAAACACGGACTGATACGCAGATCAAGAGCTGCCAACCCCTACTGAACAAAAATCCTATTCTTTTCCCCAAAAAATCCTCTTTTTGATTGATAAGTACTTTCTCAAAGTGTTTTTTTTTTTTGGGGGGGGGGGGGATGTTGCCAATTTGCATAAGTTCCTACATACAGGAAGAACATTTTGTATGGATCATTGGTTGAATATGCATGATATCGTAATGACTTGCCGATGTGAGATGCTTGTAGGATACTTTACAGGACAGAATGGGCATTTTGCCATTTAAAATGGCACACAAGAATAATTTGTTGTTGTTTGGAAAATCATATTTTATTGAGGGAAAATTGTAGTCATCTTTACCACTAAAATTGTATGAAATACAATGAAATCGTACTGGTTGGCAGCTCTGTGAAATCAATGGCAAAATCATTCAAACAGCTAATTGGCTGTATAAATATATGAATATGCATGATAGCATAAACTGCTAGGAATTCGGCTGTGTTATCTTTGTATTGTAACCATGTTCTCTTATCTTTGTCAAGTTAAGTACTCAATTGTCCCGTTCTCGTCTCTGTTGGCATCCCCCCCCCCTATTTTGTAGTTCCTTTTGTATTTACAAATTTGTTAATTTAATTACTCATTATACCTAAGTATCATTTGAGGGGTCCACAATTGTACAAGCATTTAGTGGACCTCTCTGTTTCCAATACATATGCGTAAATTGTTGTAAATGTTTATAATTGATCTGCAATGTTTTGTTGGAAACAGACATAAATTGAATTGAATTGAATTGAAGCAAAGACAAACAAATATTTAAAAGAGCATTCCATGTCAATTTAATAACATGGTAACATTAAAAGGAATGTGAATGTGACAACTTGCATCTGAATATTTTAGCATTGTTTTACCTGAAAATCATCAATATCTGGGGAATCCGAGAAACCCAGAAAAATCAGATTGGTCAAAAAAGAAAACATTCTAGTTTGAAAGCTCTTATATTATATCCAAAATATAGTCTACAGTTCAGAAATCTTCCTCAGACACTAATTGGTAGATTGAAGTAAGCCGCAAATTTTCCAATCACCAGTAGTAGTTGTTTTGGTGGCGATCAGAAAATTGGTAGCTCACTTCAATCTGCTAATTTCTTGTCTAAGGAAGGTATCTGAATTCTAGACATCAAAACTGTTACAGGTAATATTTACTTTCAAAATGTCAGCATGTAAGTCAATGCTACTTTGCCACTTAATAGATTAACAAATCCCACTTGATAAGTTCTGTACTCTCTAACTAGGCCTTGTGGCGGGCGCCTGTAATCCAGCTAACAATGGAAGTTACAAACTGATTCAGCCGAGTCACGTCTTTCGGATGGTGACGTTTAAAGGTCGGTCCCCAGACATAAATAATCATATCTGATTGATACACGTCTGTAAAGACCCATTTAATACACACGACCTACCTTTGTTCTGTAAATCTGTTGAGATCTCTGTCATTTTCTGGAGATGTAAGAAGATCTAGACTTTGACCCATAATCGTCTGGTATGTTGTCTGCAAGAACAAAGGACAATTGAATTAACCCCATAACTCTGTGAACGGGTCGGCTCCTGTATTAAGCCTATGAGTAATAATTGATTCAGTAATCAACAGGTTAATGTTGTTATTTCATTTCAAAATGCTCACGAATGTCATTCTCTTCCATTTTGGATACTAAACCCTAAAATATCTATAATATAACTTGGGCTTAAATCTAATCAGTCTGTGCAATATGAGTGCTATTAAACTGTTATGTGAAAATCAAATTGATTCCCACTGGTTTAATAACTTAAGCCCCGTCTTAATAGAACTTTTTCGATCTCACCCGAGCGATATGTAGATGACAAACAGATGGGGGTCTGATCGTAAAACATGGGGTGAGCTTTGGACACCGTCTCAATCAGCCATCCGCAAAAACCTCATCCGGGTAGGTTACCATAACAACCGCACCTGTCTTATCACAATCAGCTGGCGTGCGCTGTGTACATGACATGTAAATTACGGGTAATTTACCCGGGTAGAGTTCCGCGAGCGTCTTATGAGCTGTTTATCAGGATGTCATCCGGACGACACCTCGATATCACCCTGGCTCGACTAGGGTGAGATTTACCTCAATATTGTCTGGACGTTACCCCGATTGATGCGTCTTAATTGGAAGTGGGTAAATGTCATCCGGACAACATCCGGACTTCACCGCGACTTCCTTTTCCAATTAAGACGGGGTTTAAGTGTTAACGTAATGTTCACTCTAGTTTTGATGCTTTGGTTGGTAGACAATTTGAGGTTTATAGTGAAGTTAAACAACACTTGTCGTGAATAAAGTGTCAATAATATTTAAAAGACACATACACTGAAAACCTGTCTACAGCGACCGCCCAAGGGAAACTCAAAAAGTGGTCTTTGTAGACAGGTGGTTACTAAAGCAGGCTTGACAGTAATTATCTTCCTCCTTTTTGAAGAAATATCAAATTCTTTAGAAAATCCTTTGCTGAATATATTTTAAGTATGTATAATAATAATAATAATAATAATAGGTCTTGCTAACCAGAGGAAGCCTCATCCCTACAATAACATTATTACCCCGGCTTAGTATGAAGATTAATAGAAATATATATATATATATATATTCAATTACAAACAAACTTGTTAAATTTCACTATAATGAAACATGAAGGAAAGAATTAGTCTACAGCACATATCGTTCAACTCTTACTGGAAATTAAAGAATAAAAGGCTCTGGTCATCAGTAAACAGACAGAAACCCTAAGACCCGAATTCACAAAGGAGGTTTATATTTAACCCATGGTTTAAACCTTCATTTACATAACCCATGGTTTAAAATTAGCGCAAAAAAAGCGCAACAAAGTCAAGAGGTTCAATATTAGACGCGCGCAAGGCAAGGTAGGCTTATTTTGCGCTAATTTTTAAAACATGGGTTAAAATAGGTAAATGAAGTTTAAACCATGGGTTAAATGTAAACCTCGTTTGTGAATTCGGGCCTAAGTGTCGGAGTTGTGCAGAATGAAAATGAAGGAAAAAAAATGAAAATGAAGAAAAAAAAATGAAAAGAAATTGACTGACCTCATGAAATAATTCCATGACCTGGACATAGTAGGGTTGATGACCTATATATCTCTTGAGGAGTTTGTAGATGCAGGCTTCAACATAAAATGAATCGTTGATTGCAACATTCCCTACACCATCCTGCAAAAAATAAAAGGGAAGTAAAATTGTGCTGGTTAAAATGTGGAATGTTTTTTAGTTAGTTTAGTTTGTAAGCATTTGAATGTATGCATTATTCTTATCTGACGAGTTTGTTCTTTTAGGACATACTCATAAGCTACTCATGAGGGACCTTAAATCCACAAGCCTTGCTTTCAACCAAGGTCACCTCATCTTTCTATTGTAACGCCATATTCTGTTCACTTGTTATATTCATGTCATATTTGTAATGTGTGCTATGAAAGAAAGATAAATTAAACTTGAAACTTGAATATTTCTGTGAAATGTAGGATGTCAAGAGGAGTAAACTGTGTGAATACGTGTACATGTGGAAGGGCGTTGTCAAAGAAGCTATCTGCTCTCTCACCTCACTTTGACTACTCTCCCCTTTCCCCTCTGCCGATCCATCATCATTCTAATCAAGGTGTCTTTTTATTACCACAAAAAATATCTGTGTCTTAGACTGATCCATCATATCATCACCACCACCACCACCACGTCCACCATCATCATCTTTTCTTACCTTTTTATACCAACATGGGTGCCCTATTCGTGTCTTAGTCTGATCCATCATATCATCACTACCACTACGACCACCACGACCATCACCACCACCGCCGCCGCCGCCGCCGCCGCCGCCACCACCACCACCACCACCACCACCACCACCACCATCATCACCTTTTAATACCTTCTTGTACCAACATGGTTGCCCTCTTCGTGTCTTAGAGTGATCCATCATATCATCACCACCACCACCACCCCAACCACCACCATCACCACCACCATCACCACCACCACCACCACGTCCACCATCACCATCATCACCTTTTCTTACCTTCTTGTACCAACATGGTTGCCCTCTTCGTGTCTTAGACTGATCCATCATATCATCAGCTATCAAGAAGTATGCCTGCAGCTGTACCCGAAAATGGATTGGGGAAGAAAAAATGTATTCATAATCAAAACATAACCTGATGTAAAATTGCTGGCAAATAAACATTAAGTCATTCCCTACAGGAATCAGAGAATTTAGTTGACATTGGTTCGAGGGATTTCCAATTTTCTAGATTGACCGATAATCTGCAAATTAAAGCATTATGCCCAAAAGGCTGACAATTTGAACAAAATACAAATTTAGATTTTAACTTTCATGTACTGATCAACTGCTTTGGAGGCTGCCATATTTAATAGAAAAAGAAACAATTTAAAACAGACACTATAATTCCTTGTCTCTATACTCCTCAGTAATTAATGATCGTTGGAATGAAAATTGGTTAAGCTAAGAATGGATTCTATCCTATGAAAAATTGGGTGACTGTCACACCTGACAAGATAACTACTGGGGGGTGTTTCACAAAGACTAAGTTTGACTTCAAGTTGGACGTAACTATGGCAGGCCATTCATGCCACTGGCACTGTTTGCTCTCACCATTTACTGGCATTGGTCTCTCAAGGGAAATACAAATCTACAGAGTTGACATTTTTTGAAAATTCATTATTAAAGGAAAAATATTATCTAAAGAACATAAGGGTGAAAGCAAACAGTGGCATGAACAGCCTGCCATAGTTAAGTCCAACTTAAAGTCGATTTTAGTCTTTGTGAAACACTCCCCTGGTCCACTACGGTATGAAATCCTTGAATGCCACATTATTCAAGTGTATTTTACATACATAGTGTAAGTGTGATTAAGGTTGAATGTGGTGGTTTACAGTCTGTTTCATTAGTCAACAAAAGCAGCTAAAGAGTTTCTCAACTCTTTATATGCAACACAAATATTCTCCCTATCTGTGTCACATTGTATTTATCATGGGAAAATATACAGTGCGTCCCAGAAAAAACGAAACCGAGAAGTATCAATGTTTTATCATAACATAATCACATCCATAATTAATGAATGATACATATTTGGAAAGCTTAGAGTCTCCTCTTTCAGTTGATGCTACTCACGTGATGCATATTTCACGCATGAGTGATTAAAGGTAATACAAAGTTTTGGGAAATTTTGAAAATTGGGTGGATAGTGATTCTTTACAATTTTGATATATTTGGATGCCCCTGTGGATGTATTATAAGCACTAGAAAATTTAGCCTCTAAAACACTTCTGTTTTCGAGAAAAATTGAATATAAAAATTTACCGGTGCTCCCGGTAAATTTTTTTTTTTTTTTAAATAGCGCCTACGGCCGTACAATGGCAGCTGCGACCATGAAAATCTCAAAATATGTAGTTGTGATATATAATTTCTAAAGGGAATAGCTAATCGGTTGATTTTAGTCAAGAAACATTGTTTTATAGCTTGATTAATATCTTGACCTTGAGAGGGAGCTATACAACATAAAGAGTTTATTATTTACAATTTCATAACTTTAAACTCGATTTCAACCGCGACAACGATCACTGAATATTGAAGGATCGCATATGCTTCCAATATGTTCATTTGAACCAAATTCATGACCCCATACCAAAACTTTGTATTACCTTTAAAAGCAATTTGAAGGAAGGAAACCAAAAAGTAATTTGGCGGGCTGTATCTGAATTTCAAAGAAAAATTCATATTTCTAGGAAGTTCATTTTCTGCTCTTTTATATGATACCTCAATCAAGAAAAATGAGCCAGGAATAACAAAGTTCTGTTTGTTTAAAGTAGCCCTTACATTTTCATAATTTTAACAAACGAATTCGTTTTCACTGGGTGCCTGCCGTAGCAAAAAGCAGATTTGACAAAAGACTTAACTCCGTTTCGTTGACAATCAGCCATGCATGAAGACTCTCGTTTACGACCGATTGTCAACGAAACGGAGTTAAGTCTTTTGTTGATTTCGTTTATTGATACGGCAGGCAGCCAGTGAAAACGAATTCGTTTAATAAAATTATGGAAATGCAAGCACTACTTTAAACAAACAGAACTTTGTCATTCGTCGCTCATTTTTCCTGATTGAGGTGTCATATGAAAGGGCAGAAACTCAACTTTCTAGAAATGTGAATTTTTCTTCGAAATTCAGATACCGCCCGCCAAATGTCTTTTTGGTTTCCTTCCTTCAAATTGCTTTTAATCACTCATGCGTGAAATATGCATTATCTGAGTAGCATCACATGAAAGAGGAGACTCTAAGCTTTCCAAATATGTGTATTATTTATTAATTATAGTTGTGATTAAGTTATGATAGAACATCGATACTTCTTGGTTTCGTTGTTTCTGGGACGCACTGTATTAAGGCTGTGCACAACAGTGTAATGAGGTACCCGAGTACACTCCCATGCTTACAAGCGAATACTCGAGTATTCAAACGCCATGTTTTTTTTTTGATTTTTTTTTTTTTTTTTTTGAATTTTTTTGAATTTTTTTTTTTTTGATTTTTTTTTTGATTTTTTTTTTTTGTTGTTGCCACCACCATACATACCACTGGAGCAGTATCTCAGTTCTGTCGCCGAAAACGCATGCAATTTTACTTTGAGTTGCAGTTGAAGGCGCCGAATTAATAATAATAATAACAGTGAACAATGCTGTTTTAAAAACCAAAGATGGCAGAATAATCCATTTTCCTCGAAGTCCAAGCAGAAATCCAGACATTTGATCCCAGTTTCTGAGTGGTGAGTTTGACAGTGCTTGAGTTGGGAAACATTTTTACCGACGGCACCATGCCAGCGGCCGCCGCTCACCAAGGCACGGGTAAGCGTCGGCCTGGACATTTAAATTTTTTTTTTTTTTTTTTTTTTTTTTTTTTTGCGGCCGAATATTCGGGTACGAGAAATCGTACCCGAGTAGTTGTCAACCGTGCGGGTACTCGAGCATTCGACTACCCTGCACAGCCTTACACTGTATATACACCAAAGGCTTCTGGATTATTTAACTGTTTCCGGTGCAAGTTAATCTAGAGTAAAGGAGCCCGTAATCGGCCAGCTCCCGTTTTCGGCCGATTGGTTGGATGCAAGGTAAAATCACTCTAAAATACATCGCATAATAGCATAACACATATCCCACTCATACCATACCATGCCAGTGTCACTGAAGAACCACATTTGCAATGAAAAATATATCCTAAAATATCACATTTTAGCGATGTAATCGGCGGTCCCGCTACCCAAATCTGAAAAATCAAGTATCTTACGCGTGTATGTAAGAAATATGGGTACCATAAAATCCGCTTTATTTCAAGTATTTTTCAGATTTAGAGCCCGATTTTGTGTTAGTCGCAAGCTCAAAAGTATCTCATCGCATGTATTAAATCAATGCAGCCGGACCCTGCCACGCACACACGATATGTCTGTCTAATTCAGATTCAAACTTCCGATCACCGCTGTGCCTGTCTTCGGCCAAGCGAGCACCAGGGAGCTCCGGCGTGGGATATCTGCTCCGCCCGCTTGTGCTGTACATCAGCGCGGAAACGCACGGCGCGCGCGAGCGCTTCCTATTGACTTTGTACATGCGGCCGTAAACTGAAACGCTCGGCCGATAACCGGCTCCAAAACAGTGAAAATTGAAATGAATATTGTCATGGCAATTCGTGATTTTTTTCTGGGATTCTTTTTTTGTTTAAATAATAATAATATTTGCTTCATGATTTGAACAAAAAATGATAATAAATAGGAAGTAAAGGGTCCTAAAAAAAGGATTTTGTCTTAAGTGGCCGAAAACGGGCTCCTTTACTCTATACCAGTGTTAAAATGGTTGATAATCAAGACCAGAATTGGTAATTTCGCAAAGCCATTGTGTTGCACAAAGCAATCCTTTCCTCAGTCACTGAGCATTGTTTTGTGCAAAAGTGCAAAACAAGCGACCAAGGAAACGTGCAGAAAGGCGTCTAAACAAATGACCATCAATGACAGACTTCTTTTCTTACCCATTCTACACACCAACCAAGTACCATGGCAGTGTGAATGTTATCTTCTGTGTTCTGAACGCTGTTTGCCAGCTGCGTGAATGCATTGACCACTGTCTAAACAAATGACTATCAATGGCTGACTTCTTTTCTTACCCATTCTACACACCACCCAAGTACCATGGCAGTATGAATGTTATCTTCTGTGTTCTGAACGCTGTTTGCCAGCTGTGTGAATGCATTGACCACCGTCTAAACAAATGACTATCAATGGCTGACTTCTTTTCTTACCCATTCTACACACCAACCAAGTACCATGGCAGTGTGAATGTTATCTTCTGTGTTCTGAATGCTGTTTGCCAGCTGTGTGAATGCATTGACCACCGTCTAAACAAATGACTATCAATGGCTGACTTCTTTTCTTACCCATTCTACACACCAACCAAGTACCATGGAAGTATGAATGTTATCTTCTGTGTTCTGAACGCTGTTTGCCAGCTGCGTGAATGCATTGACCACCGTCTAAACAAATGACCTTTAATGGTTGACTTCTTTTCTTACCCATTCTACACACCAACCAAGTACCATGGAAGTATGAATGCATTGACCACCGTCTAAACAAATGACTATCAATGGCTGACTTTTTTTCTTACCCATTCTACACACCACCCAAGTACCATGGCAGTATGAATGTTATCTTCTGTGTTCTGAACGCTGTTTGCCAGCTGCGTGAATGCATTGACCACTGTCTAAACAAATGACTATCAATGGCTGACTTCTTTTCTTACCCATTCTACACACCAACCAAGTACCATGGCAGTGTGAATGTTATCTTCTGTGTTCTGAATGCTGTTTGCCAGCTGTGTGAATGCATTGACCACCGTCTAAACAAATGACTATCAATGGCTGACTTCTTTTCTTACCCATTCTACACACCAACCAAGTACTATGGAAGTATGAATGTTATCTTCTGTGTTCTGAACGCTGTTTGCCAGCTGCGTGAATGCATTGACCACCGTCTAAACAAATGACCTTTAATGGTTGACTTCTTTTCTTACCCATTCTACACACCAACCAAGTACCATAGAAGTATGAATGCATTGACCACCGTCTAAACAAATGACTATCAATGGCTGACTTTTTTTCTTACCCATTCTACACACCACCCAAGTACCATGGCAGTATGAATGTTATCTTCTGTGTTCTGAACACTGTTTGCCAGCTGTCTGAACGCATTGACCACCGTCAGCCCTCTGTTTCTCTTTCCTCCCGGTACAGTGTATACCAGCATCTGAAATATAAAAGATGAAAACAGAATACTTAAAGGTAAAGACCGGTATTGGAAACGCCCCAATCTCAAAAAATGAAATGGAAGCTCTTATTACCAATCATGTGAAAGAAAATATTTTAACTAATACATGATGATAACAATTTTGCCAGGAAACCGCCTACTAATTGATATATTTGGTAAATTAGTTTATCTATTTGTATGTGAGAGATAAACGCAAGTGTTGTGCACGTGTGCGTGGTCCCATATTCCTGTGTACAGTGCTTGTAGCTTTAAGAAGACTAGGCCAAATTTCTTATTATTTTGATGATTCCAGAACCTTGCAGTACACACCAATACTTATATGCTAGATGATCAACCTTTTCTAATCATTTCCACGCATGACCATAACTGGTATTTATCTTTAAATACACCCTGTTATCATCTTGGTTTTAATAAAAGCAGAAAATTAAGAGTAACAGGTTTTAAGTTTAAGCAAAAACCGATTACAAATAAGAAAGTTATGAATTTTTTAAGTTGCGATCAATTGAACACAAAAAAGGTGACTCTGTGATGTATCTTACTAGCTCCCTTTAAAGTGACTTGATAACATTGTTGAAGGTTGATGAAATGATTGCTTAATTTTTGTATAAAATGTTACTTACTATATTCCTTCTACTGTACTAACCCTCTGACATGCAAAAAATCCTGAAAACATTCTCAAACCACGAAGATATCTATGGTTTTCTTTGAAGGAGTCGATGTATGACACCCTCTAACAGTGATTTACAGTAAATTCTCCCAACCATTTTTAAATTTTCCCAACCGTTTTTCCATGAAAAAAATGACATAAAAACAAAAAATGTCAACACTTAAATGTCTGGAATGGAATGTAGAGCCATTTTATTGCTTTGTGACGATTCACCTAAAATGTAATTAAATTATAATAATATGGTTGGGAAAATTAAGGAATCGATCAGATCAGTTTTTCCCAATTTGTACCTTGAATAATGGTCCGTTTTCACTCAAATTTTCAGATTATCTTTAATTGTACATCTAGCATTGAAGTCACTACCTTAGCACCACTATCTCTCATCTGAACAATGTTACTTAGTCCCTTTAAGAAAATGTTTAATCATACATATACCCTACCGGTATATACAATTATTGCAAATATGTTTTTATACAACCCCATACATGCCAACATTTGAAAATCAGAAATCTGTACAAATTATGCTATTTTCAAAAAAAAAGAGGAACAATCCTAACTCTCCTATTCAATACTACAGACAAATTTGTACAGGAAGAGGAACACCTGCATTAAAATGATAATTATCTTCTCCCAAAAAGAGGAATGTTCCTCTTTAATCTGAACAGTTGGCATGTATGCAACCCCTGTATAAAGCAAATCTATTCTGAAAGTGAGATCTTTGTCAATTTGTGTTTCACTGATGACAACTTCAAACATTCAAGAGTGAATGGTAAAAACCACTATGAATTTGAGTGTTTCATTTTATTTGCATTTGGAACTATCCTTAAAGGTAAAGACCAGTATTGGAAACGCCCCAATTTCAAAAAATGAAATGGAAGCTCTCATTACCAATCATGTGAAAGAATATGTTTTGACTAATACCTGATGATAAAAAATTTGCCGGGAAACCGCCTACTAATTCATATATTTGGTAAATTTGTATCTCTCATGGTCTGTGAGAGATATAGGGTAGTCCCATATACATCTTTCTGTGTATAGTGCTTGTAACTTTACAAAGAAAGGGCCAAATTTCTTATCATTTTGATGATTCCAGAACCTCGCAGATGCTAGATGCTAGATGATCAACCTTTTTTGATCGATTCCACAACGTTTCTTTCACAATGCAATCGCATGACCATAACTGGTCTTTACCTTTAAAGACTGGACAGAGAAATAGGGCGCTCAATTATTACCTCTTTAAACCAAGCTGCAGCGTCTATGACCTCTGGGTTGGCAGTGTCGTCGGTCAGCTCGTCCACCAGTTCGTGGAAGACTTTCTCAAACGTCTGAGGGTCTTGGGCACTGCTTGTAGAAGACATGTCTGATATATACCTGTTGAAAAAAACATGGCAAGGTTAATTTATTCAAATTTATTAAAATTTTATGCAAAATTTATGCAAAATATAGTTCTTTCCACTGATTCTCAATCTACTTTTTGTATTTTCCCCCCTTCTTCTTTTTGAGGATGCACAATACATGTAAGCCCAAGTGTCATCCTCTTTGGAAGACTAAATTCTCTAACAGACTAGATAAGTTGGTATTTAGGCCAAAAAACAAAGTAATGTGTTCCATTTGGACGTTTAAAAAAAAAATATTAGGTAGGGTATACTATTTACTATTTGGCAATTGTTTGCAATTTTTTTCTCCAAGATAGCTGCCGTGCTAATTATAGCTGGCCGAGCCTATCACAGATATAGTGCTATGTGAGTATAAGTATACTGATGCAATTTATGACAAAAACAAATTGATTTGTATTAAGGCTGCGACGTGTAGTCGAATGCTCAAGTACCCGCATGGTTGACAACTACTCGGGAACGATTTCTCGAACAAAATATTCGGCCAAAAAAAAAAAAAATCTGTCCAGGCCGACGCTTACCCGTGCCTGGGTAAAAGAAAAAAATTCAAAAAAATTCAAAAAAATAATAAAAAAACATGGCGTCCGAATATTCGAGTATTCGCTTGTAAGCCTTGGAGTGTACTCGGGTACCTCATTTCACTGTTGTGCACAGCCTTAATTTGTATCACTTTAGAAGCTATTTAAACAAAATGTATATCACAAGGTTCTTTTTTTTTGAGGGGGGGGGGGGGTTCATAATTTTGTTATTTTGGAGGGAGGGGCTTTTTTCTTCTGAATAGTAAAAAGTAAAAAGTAAAAAGTAAAAAAAGGGAGGCGAGCGGGGACGAGAAACACTTAATTTTGTTTTCCAGCCTTATAGAAAATGATTTATATCCATATATTTTACAACAATATTGAAAAAGAAAATAATAGAACAATTTTTGTACAATTTGGAAGATGTTATTTCGACATAGAGAGCAGCTAGGCTTTGACATTATATGAAGTTTCATGCTCCTAAAGATTCTGGGTTTCACAATTAACTTACCAGGGGTGTTCTGTACTGGCTTCTTGTTTGAAAGGACAGGAAAGGGTGTGGCCAAGAACAAGTGAATGGAGAGGCGTCGTCGATCGGAGGCTTGTGCCAGGAGAGAAGCTGGAATTCTTCCCGCAAAAGTTGGAAACTTGACTGAACTGGGTAGAGTAGCACGTACGTTGACCTTGTATGACCTTTGTGTGACCTCTGACCTTAGTGGAGTGGTATGCCGGGATGACAAGTCTGTTGTAGAGAAGGGAAAGCCTACATTGCATGGTACTGGGCTCAGTTCCAAACTTGTTCTGCCTGTTGCATGTCTGTTCGATAAACAGTTAAAGAGTTCAGGAGTTAAAATGATTTAGCGCTTAGAGACTTCGGTAGTAAGAGCTTTACAAGTAACATTTTTATTATTATCATAATTATATCCACACATTTCACAACAATATTGAACGAGACAATGACTATCATATAGCATAATGTTACCGGCGCTAATTGTCCAGAAACGTATCCAAAATTCGACCCGTAACTCCGGTGTGGAGATACCCTACTAAAACATGTACATGTGGTAAATATTCATTAAGTGTCCAAATAAAGACCATGGGTGGTATTCTCTTAAGTTAAGCCAGGACTAAGTCCAGACTAAACAAGAATTTTAGTTCGCACTTCTATGGAATGCTAGGTTTCATCTTCCTCCTTCAATATTCATGACAAAGATAATCTACCAAGGACTTTGTTGAAATTTAGTGTATACTCATATTATCTTTTTCTTCCTATTTCAGTGCAAAATTATTTTTTTGGACACTTTTCATTGAAGGATTAAAATAATCTGTTCAGGGTAAATTAGTTCACAACAGGCACTCCATAAAAGTGTGAACTAACTAAGCACGCGCTAACTTAGTACGCGCTACCGGAATACCACCCCATGAGTTAAAAGTCGTAAATGAGTATTTTTCGGAAAAACGATATTAGTATACACTTTTTCTCAAGTTTCCCGGCAAACCGCTGCACAATACAAGTGCATACCGATGGTGGGTTGTGGGAGCGCCCCTGTGTAAAGTTATCTACCGTAAAGAGGATCTGAGACAGTATGGTAGATAACTTCACACAGGCTCAATCACCTGCCCGCAACCCACCATCAGTATGTACTGTATTGTACAGCGGTTTGCCATGAAACCTGTGAAAAATGTATACTAATATCAACATTTATCCGAAAAATACTTAAAAAATAACAAGACAATTGACACGAAACAGGTAAAAAACATAACGACATTTAACTCATGATCTTTTTTTGGACATTTCATGAATATTTACTTCATTTAGGTATGTTTTAGTAGGGTATCTACACGCCGGAGTTACGGGTCAAATTTTGGATACCTTTCTGAACAAGTGCCAGAAAATTGACACGAAACAGGTAAGAAACATATCGACTTGTAAATCATGACCATTATTTGAAAAATCGGTTAAGATTTACTCAATTTCAGTATGTTGTTGTCACACATAGGAGCATCACTATCCTGGCTGTGTAGTAAAAGCTGTGCTTTTGATTCTCAACATTTCAAACACCACTGTACAGAACTCAACTGATTTCACTCAATAGATGACACCTAAATAGCAGTAAAATACATTTTTTTAACTTACTGATGTTAAGAAGAATAATTTAAAAATTCAAATTACAAGTCTAGTGTCAAACTTTGCTTATACAGCTGCGTCGACATGATTGTGTAGACTCTATGCGATATTGTGTAGTGTGTGTATTTATGTATGGGTATAATAATACTTGCCTCACAGCATGTATGCAGTGCTAGAGGTCAATACGCATTAGCATTGACTCTCAATGCTTTGCTGGAGTGTACATGTTTCGGTAGGGTATCTCCACGGCGGATTTACGGGTCAAAGTCTGGATAGACTTCTGAACTATAGCGGCAAAACATTGTCCGGAAAAAGGTTAAGCTTTCGTGAATGATGATCGAACGATCTTGGTATCAACATGTGGAGAATGAGGTAAATAAAGCAACAATGTCATTTCCGCACTGCATTGTGGGACGGGCTTTCAGTGAATTGGGTAGTAGGGGCGCTGGTCCGAGAATGAGGATCGTCCTCATAAACAAGGATATCCTCCTAAACGAGGACAAAATGCGTCCTCAAAAATAAGGGTTGTCTGCATTTTCAAGGACGTTTTTTTTCTTCGGCACTCTGGGGGTTTCATGTTGCAAAGCGGCCCGCTGGCGATGCCAAAAATGGATTCCCCTTTGGAAAATAACCCTAGTTCACCGTCTACTTTTATGGGTTGTCCGTCTTCCCAAGGATTTATTGCTCATAATGTGAAGGTCTCTGTACAAAGCCAATGTAAAATGCATCAAGAAAATCATTGCAGAATCCGTTTTTTGTATCGCCAATGCGCCGATCAAAAATATGAAACGTCTGCATCGCAGACGGTCCTTACTTTTGAGGACGCATCTGTCTGTGTTAAAGAAGACGATCCTCATTTATGAAGACGATCCTTATTCTCGGACCAGTGCCCCTACTGTAGATCTAGAAAGAACTTGATAATGATCCGTTTACATAACGATATCATAGTTCATACCGATAGCGAATCTTCATCAGCTGATACGGTACCATCCGACAACTGTGCGCTGCTGCGCATGCGTCGCTGAAAAAAGGCACGTCGATTCATGACGTTGCGGGCGATCGGAACCATGGCTATTAGGGTAATATTATTAGCAAATTCACAGAAAGATGCGGATGCCCAGGCAAGAGGAGTCGAAAAACGTTTTTTGTAGAGTAAGATCTAAGTCAAAATTGTAATTAGATCTAGTCTTCTACCTCTTTACATTGCAAAAAAAATGTGACCTTACCCGCTGTTTGAATCGTTTTCATAAACGGGCCCTATGGTAGTATATATGGAGCTCCGACGCCTTTAGCATCGGCGTCGGAGCTCCCTTAAGTTAAGGCTGAGAAGCTAGAAGCACGCATGCCGCACGCTCCGCGGCCGCGCCTGCCCGGCTTGACCGTGCATTGTCATCATTGAAGATAGTCAAATTAAAGGCAATATCAAACCAACAAAGGTTAGAGAATTTCAGGTATTTAACCAATGTAAACACTTGTCTCGTAATCCAAATACAAACCACATGGCTAAGAAGTCGAATGAATTGAAAATTGCATACTTACAACGAATATTCTCTCAAATATTGATGATTTTACACGAATTTTGACGCGAAGGCGGTTGCATCGACAGGCTCGAGACAGCAGCAGCCGACGTATGAATGTATAGGCCTGTGATTGGTCAATTCCCCTATCGTACCATTGCGCCCTGTCAAAATTGAAGAAGTTAGTCTCGAAACAATAACAATACTTTTCATAACTGTTATGATATTGCAATTTTTTTCTATCGACTCTTATAATTACAAAATTCAATATAATTTTACTTACTTTTGCTCATTTGATAGATATTATTTTGCTAGAATCATCCACCAAAAGCCTCCCTAACTTCAAGTATTATTCATAGAGTCTGATAGGCAAGGGGCATCTAGGCTTCTAGTCCAGCCTCTATACCGCTTACATGTCGCGTGCCCAATCTAATCGGCTGACACAATAACACAACCTCAACGTTGAAATTAAGTAAATCCAGCCATTGCTCTCATTCCGTTCTGATCTTGGGGAGTGAAACTTGGTATGGTGGGGGATTGCGCGATCAGTAAGAGCCGCGCTGCATGTAGTCTGCTAGCACAGACCCGAATTTGTCACTAATTTTGCCTTGAGAGAAGCCTATAGCCCAGCACTATTGGTTGTGTGTCAGGAACAGCTATAGTACATGGCCTATGGTAGTCTTAATAGTGCAGACTCTCTTTTACGACTGACCAGGGTTTGTGCCTGCAAACTACGCTGCATGTGTGTTTATGGGGTTGATGAACAAAGAACGGACTGAATCTGGACTCCGTAGGCTACATAATGATACACAATGGGACTCCGCAGGGGCGTCTGTTGCCAAAGGGGGGATCGAGGGGGTGGAGGTGGGGGGGGGGGGGGGGGATGCGACACCCCCACCTGTCAGGATATTGTCGGTAAAATTGTGCTGCTGTCGGTGAAATGACAAAAAGGGAGGGGGAATGAGAGAGAAAGAGAAAGAAAAGAAAAAAGGAAAGGAAAAGAAGGGAAAGAAAGGAAGAGAGAAGAAAACAATTAGGAATGAGAGGAAAGAAAGGAAAAGAAAGAAAAGAAAGACAAGGAAAAATGGAAAAAAGGAAAAAAAAGGAAGAAAAGAAAACAAAAGAAACGGGGGATGAAAGAGAGGACGGGAGAGAGAGAGAGAGAGAGAGAGAGAGAGGGAAGAGGGGGGGGGGGGGGTGTAAGAGCCCAGTGGCGGATCCTAATGTGTATTTTTACTTTTCTTAACGTTAATTTTACCTTTTTTTTGAAGATGGCCCCCATCCCCTCAAGGGGGGAGGGGTGCGATTTTTTCAAATTTTCGAGGAAAAACAAAATAGTGCTCACAAAGATCGAGCATAATAATATATATTTTGTGAAAGCGTAATTTATCACCAAAATAAACGAAAAAAGATATCTATAATTCATATTCGGGCAGCTCGCTGTCCCCCCCCCCCCCCCCCCCCATTACGCGCGAAGCGGAAGCTATGATTTTTCATGAATTATTAGAGAAAGAAGAGGATTCGCTGTACCATAGTCTCGACTCTTATTCCAAGTCTGAATTCAGTTTCCCTTCTCCCGCGCGAAAGCTTTGACCTTTCATAGTTAAATAAAAATTTAGAGAAAGGAGATGATTCGTTGTTCCATTTTCGACTCTTAATCCTTGTCTGAATTCAGTTTCCCCCTCCTGTGCAAAGCAGAGAAGCTTAACGTTTCATTCAATTATAAGAAAAAGAAGACGATTCGTTGTACCGTTCACAGTTCACAGTGGTGAATTCTGTTTTCCCCCGCCCGCGCGAAACGCGGAAGCTTTGACCTTTCATTAATTATTAGAGAAAGAAGACGATTTGTTGTACCATTCTCGACTCTTATTAATTGACTGAATTCAGTTTCCCGTCCTCCCGCGCAAAGCGCAGAAGCTTTGAACTTTCATAGTTTAATGAAATTATTAGAGAGAGAAGATAATTCGTTGTTCCATTCTCGACTCTTAATCCTTCTCAATTCAGCCCCCGCCCTCTCGCGCGATGCGCGGAAGCTTTGACGTTTCATTAAATTATTAGAGAAAGAAGAAGATTCTTTGTACCATTCTTGAATCTTAATCTTTTTTAAAATTCAGTTTTTCCCCTCTCCTGCGCGAAGCGTGGAAGCATTGACGTTTCTCTAAAATAATTAGAGAAAAAAGGCGATTCGTTGTACCGTTCTCGACTTTTAATCCTTGTCTGAATTCAGTTTTCCCCCGCCCGCGCGTAGCGCGTAAGCTTTGACGCTTCATTAATAGAGAAAGAAGACGATTTTGAATTCAGTTTTCCCCCTCTCCTGCGCGAAGCGTGGAAGCATTGACGTTTCTCTAAATTATTAGAGAAACAAGACGATTCGTTGTACCGTTCTCGACTCTTAATCCTTGTCTGAATTCAGTTTTCCCCCTCCCGAGCGAAGCGCGGAAGCTTGGACATTTCATTAATTTATTAGAGAAAGAAGACGATTCGTTTTACCGTTCTCGACTTGTCAGAATTTTCAAAAATGTTTCTTTGTCTGCTCCTTTTTCTTCCTATGTTCTCATGTTTGTGATAGCACACAATTAGGTTAGTAGAAATGAAGAAAAAAACATCTATTACACCAACCATGGATAAATCATATAATCAGCGTCATATCATAGTTTTGTGTCATTGGGCGAGGGGGGGGGGGGGGGGGTAGCGACCAAGCGATATTTGGCAATGTTGAATGCTGAAATTATGCATTCTAGAACATCCCTAAGCCCAATATGTACGTTCTTTCCGCTATATTTCCCTCTAGCTATATTTCTAAATTTCCTGGGGGACGTGTGCCCCTATCGGGCCCCTTTCCATGATTACTAGTACTACCAACATGAGTTCAAATACAACCACAAGCGAGTTAGTATGAGCTGAAGCCGAATGAAGGGCAAAGTAAGAGTTGTGAAGCGGCCCCTTTACCGTAATTTAAATTTTGACTGTTGAGTATATAGGCCTAACTTCAATTAAAAAGCCATCCAAAATATTGTGCCCTTTTTAAATTTCTGACTAAAGAGTTATGACCTTTTTAGCGCAGGGGCTGTTTTTAGCGTTTAACCGAATCCGCGGCTCGAGATTTTATGCGGCCGGCCCCCTCTTTTCAATAACGTTTCCCAAGCCTTCTGGAATGACCCCCAAATCTCCCGATTACAGTTTTCCCTTATTCGTCGCTGTCACTTAGCGCCATTTCCTTGTCTTTACCCCTTTCTCACCCGACTTTTCTCTCCCCCCCCCCCCCCACTTATCTAGGGTACGCGCATGCATGTTCCCTCTCTTTGTAATCACCCTCTATCTCCGGTGTGTAAAGTCAGTACGGGTCGGATTTTTGTGTATTACGGGTCGGACTTTGTTGCATGAAAAGTACCCCTTTATCGGAGATTTTGGGAACACAAATTCGGTCCCTCCGACCCCGGATTTGAAGGGGGGGGGGGGGGATTTCTTCTTTTTCTTTTCTCATTTTTTCCCCTCTCTCTCTGTTTCTTTTCTCTTTTTTCTTTTCTCTTCTCCTTTCTTTTCTCTTCTCCTTTTTTCTTCTTTTCTTCCTCTTTTTTCTCTTCCCTTTTTTTGCGCCGCCAATAGGGGGCCGCGGCCGTTTCGCCCCCTGGATCCTCCACTGGTATATATATGAATCTGTGACAGAGTCTACTGCGGTTTGTTCTGGTATCACTTAGACGGATCAACAGAAGAACAGCCTTTGGCTGAAGTTGGTGCCGTGCAAAAAAAAAATAATAATAAAAATAAAAAATAAACGTTGAGATAGTGTCGGTTGTAAATACCGTATTGTCAAACATTAATTTGCCCTCTCTCAGGCTCCAACCAACAAAGGCATAAGAGCTACTTAGAGGGCTTGAGAAACGTCTCCCCCAGTGACATCACTCTTAAACAGATAGAGCAGTATACCACCAAATACATATACAGCCTGGGATTAGGTAAGCTCGGGCCAAAATGTGGGAGCGGATGAGAGGAAATCGACTCTCAGTTTTCCTCAGTCCTGATACAGATTCACATAATTTGGTAACACAGACCAACTATCAGGCATTCATCATGTTAAACTTTATGAATCCAGATGCTTCATCATCTCCCCTTCACAATTGTTGGAGCTTGAGAGAGGGCAAATTAATGTTTGACAATAAGGTATTCAACGTCTAAGTGATGCCAGCTCAAACTGCGGTAGACTCTGTAACAGATACTAGTGATCGAACAGTGATCTGACTCTGATTCTGATGGATATGACACTCAGTAGGATGATGAACTGTGCAATAAAGCAAGATAACCATCATTGGACAATGTTTTTAGAAATAACGGTGTTATATTGTTGGCCAAGGATCCTGATTCAAGTCTTTCGGTAGCCCTTTTGGCAGCCATATGTTCATGGTTAGGGTAAGCACTTTTACCTTTGAAAATTGAATAGTTGAATTTGCCATGTCAGGATACATATTATTAGACACTAAAGTTATTAGAATCGGACAATGTTAACTGTGCTGGTGAATTTGACCACCATGCAGTCAAAAGTGTGTTGACCTTTTTTACCATTGTGCCCTCATTTTAAGGTCGGAGGTATAACAAACTGTACATTTTGGGAATCCTCATGACCAGACGAGTAATTTGATATGCAATTTGTCAATGTTAACTGTGTTGGGGAATTTGACCACCACTCAAAAGTGCGTTGACTATTCAACGTTTTTTACCATAGCCGCCAGGCACGTAGCCAGAGTTTGATGTTTGGGGGGGGGGGGGGGGCACATACATGTAATCGATTGACGTCCTGGGGAGGGGTCTAAAAAAAGTTCAACCGATCTAGGAGAAAAAAAATGGGGGGGGGGGGGGGGCACGTAAACCCCCCCCCCCACCCCTATGGCTTCGTGCCTGACCATAGCGCCCTCATTAATGTCGGAGGTATAACAAACTTTACATTTTTTGAATCCTCATGACCAGACGAGAAATTTGGTATGTGTATCGACACGATTGGAATATATTTAAATTTCGACCCCTTTTTGACCCCTCCCGGAAATGCCTGACATTTTCAAGGGGGCAGCCCAAGTCAAAATTGTTCGGTATTCATCAGGGAACACAAAAAACACTTTCAAACCTTTGTTCCCAGAATTTGGTCACGGGACCTACAAGCT